ACCCCCCCGAGTGGGTTCAAAGCGAGAGCCAGGGACTGGTTTTCACACCCGGGTCTCTGCTCTGAGCCCCATCCTCAGCACACAGTGGGGTGTCCCGTGGGGAGGACACGGCCCTGGTTGCAAAGACACCGCGAAAAATTGGGCAAATTCAGCGGCAAGAAATGGAGCGAAGCCAGGGCGGTGAGCCCAGAACCACTGCCAAATGCCTCCCATCAACCAGGGTGCCCCTGGGCAGCCTCCCCAGAGACCCCCCTGCCTGCCAAAGCCTTCGCCCGGCATCCACAGCCCGGGGAAGCAGATGCTGAGCAGGGATTGTCCCAACAGCCGGGATATGGCACAGCATGGAGGGATTCAGATCCTCTCCTCGCCAGCCCAGACCATGGGGCAGGAAGGCTTTTACCTGCCAAGACCTGGGCTGAACCCAGCCCAGTTACGGCCGCTCAAGCAATGGGCGGGCACTGGGCAGCTCCAGCGATGGCAGTGGGAGGTGGGCGCTCTCCCATGGCCGTTCACTGGGGTAGGGCCCCCCCCGGCCCTAATTTGGGGCAGAGCTCTAGCACAGCCCCTCTCCTTCCTCCTCCTACAGCCACATCCCCATTTCCTCCTCTGGACTGACCATTTTCCGCTTGGGACAGAGGAAGGCATGGCACTCCAGGTTCTCATTGAGCTGGTTCTGGGCAATGTAGGCAAACACCTTATCGTGGATCTTGTCTGCCGTGCAGTAGGATATCCTGAAAAGACAGAACGAAACGTCTTGTGCGGGGCGCTGTGTGCATGGGAGATAACCAACCCCTGCGCTGACCGGACCCTGTCTTCTGGGGGTGCAGGGGAGGCAGAGGGAGCGTGGAGCGTTACCAGAGCGATGCAACTGCTTCCCAAAGCAAAGGAGTCCATGGCCCTGGCTTCAGTATAAAAGAAACCCAGAGCAAGTCCTGCAGCTGTGGCGTGAACCACGAGCATCACACGCAGAGGCAGGAGAGAAGAGAAAGTGTGACACTTTGTAGGGAAGGATAGGTTAGAGAAGGTAAAGACTGCAAGCGTGCCAGCCTAGGACTATGCCCGACAAATGCTCTGCCTTCAGGAGAGACTCGGGAAGATTTTCCTTGGAGGATAAGCTTGCAGGGAGAGAGGAGGACTTGTTCTCAGCCTGCGATTTAATCTTGAGGCTCAAACCAGGGGAAGAAATTGATGCTGTTGGAAAGGCTGAAATTCCAGCTCTGAGATCTGCAGTAGCAGATGCACAGGATGCTCCAAGACTCCTGAGCCCATGAGATGCAGGGAAGAAGGCTCAGCCTCCACAGTGGAGCATCCCCAGGATGGGCATGTCCCTCCCAGCCCCCAGACAGAGCAGGGCTGACTCCAAAATGCCGATGAAGGCTCTGGAGGAGCAACGGGCAGACCTGTGTGGGGAGCCAGGCTGTGCCTGAGGGCTCAGCCCACTTCTGCAGAGCAGTGGCTCCCTCCGCACCAGCCACTGCCACCCCCTGGTCCATCTGTGCCAGGAGCCGCAGCGCTGAGCATCTCTTCTGGAGCCAGCAGCGCTAGGCAGAGCAACACCAAGGTTTAGTGCAAGGCAGCAGGCGCTAGCAGCGAGCAAAGCCTCTTCCCTGGGCAGGCGACAGATCAAGCAGTGTTGAGGAAAGAGGAAATGCAAGGAAAAAGTGGGGTATTTCAGTAAAAGTTCTCTTGTGGCCCCATGGTGCCCCCTTCAGCTCCTGTTCTGACTGCCCCTGAGTCTGCAGGGAGGGGAAGGCAAGGTCCCGGTTCCCAGCAAGTGCTGGGACTTTAGAAAAGCCACATTCAAAATGTATTTACACTGCATTAGTTTCTTGCTGCCTGTAAGGATGCCTCTGCTCTATGGCTTGTATGTTGTTTTCCACAGCCGAGCCGTACCCTGGATTCAAGAGGCACTTGGACCTTCACTCCTTTCTCCTGTTTGCTCCCAAAGCGGCATGGCCACTCTTTAATTAATCGTGACGAGGCCGCAGAAGGTCGTCTGCACAGGCACATGGCCCTTCCAGCAACCCCAGTGCTCAGCTCGATATCTGATGGCCATTAATTTCCCGGGAGAGGATAACTCTGAACAGAGCCAGTTTTATGACTGAGGCCTCTGGCAGTGGCAGATCTGGTGATGGTGGCTGTGTTTTAGCTGCAGCCACCCCATCCCACCCCAGCACATGATCTGCGGCGAGAGCTCGGAGCCAGCATCACCCCAGAGAGTAGAAAAGCCAAAGAGAAGACAGCAGAGGTGTCAGAGGGACCACCACCGGTGCAGCCCACTCACAGAGCGGGGAGAGAACCCCCCATGAACACACATCCCAGTTTTCACCACGATCCCCGGGGATCACGCATCTCCGGGGAGCAGCACCAGTCCCCACATCAACAGCTTATTTGGGATGCGCCGACTTCAGTCAACCGAGCCCAGGGATGCTCGTACACCAGCACCGGCCGGGAGGAACGGCTTTATCACCGGCTGTTAAAGTGTCCAGCCAGGATTTAAGGCAGCATCAAAAAACCCCAGCCCCACGGCTCTGCTGTTTTTACACCAGTGCAGAGACCCTGATTTCAGTGCGACTGTGGTGGCCGCGCTCCGCTCTGCTCTGCACCAGTGGGTTTGTCTCCTGGGGAGGGCTGAGGGGGCTCAGCATCGGTGGCCGTACGCGACAGCGCAGTTTGGACTGGAGAAAAGCGAGCAGGACAGCGGCTGTCAGGGACTGCCCCCACCCAGCGCTCCCCACCCCACGTTCAGCAAAGGGGACAGAGCAGCAGAGGGACAGAAGCAGAGTGGGGGATGCAGAGGGAGAAAGGATGGAGGAGGTGGAAAGGGTCAGATCCGAGCTGAGCTCTACTCTGCCAGGCCTGCGCCTGCCTCTGGCCTCTTTGGAAGAAACACTGCCAAAACCTGAGGAGAGGATACAGGATAATCCCTCCTCACCCTCCCCACGCTGGTACCGGCTCTCAGCAGCTGTCCCAGCCCCACACTTGTCAGAGATATTTAAATGCATGAGGGGTGCAGCACAGCCCCAGCTCTGGTGCTCACGTCCTCGCCTGCTCAGAGATGCTCTGACCATCCTCTGTATCCGACTCTTGCATCACCCCGGATGCTTTGGCATTTCCAGCGCCAGGCATCACTTTACAGGCAGTAAAGCTTCGCTTGGGTGTGATGTGTAGTGATCTGCAGTCTGCACACACAACACCTCCAGGCTCATCACGTCTTTTCTTACCCCCGGCTGGACACTTATTGCACCAGCTGTAAATTTACCTCAAATTTAGCAACCACCCTCCTTCCCCCACCTCTGCTTCCCATCAGGATGTGACTGGCAGTGAGAGAGGAGACCAGAGCAGGCGAGGAGCCGCAGAGCAGGCACCCACGGAAGGGCACCTCACACCCACCTGTATATGGAGACGTTCTCGATCAGCTCGTTCGTCCCGCCATCGTTTAACACGATCCCTCTGGGCGAGACTTTCAGGGTCACTTTCTGCAGTTTCTTGCCGCTTGCTTTCGCCTTTGGAAGGAAAAGGAGGAGGAAAGTTACAGGTTTTTACCACTGACACAGCCAAAGGTACAGGAGCAGAGCAGGCTCCAGATACACACCACCTAACAGGAGTATTAATAGCACTTGTTAGCACTAGAGACTGAATTTACTACCAGGTGTGATAAGGCACTCGTTAAAGCTTTTCCTTGCCTGAAGCAGTGATTTTTGCTGGCATTAACGAGGAAGGACACACACCTCCACACTGTACTTCCAGCCCAGCACCTCCACCTTCCCTGCAGCCAAACGCAGGAAGCAGCGGCTGCTCCGGCCGAGCCGTGCACTCAGTGAAACCCTGGGGACTTTTGTCTTTAGGGCAGAGGGGGCAGCAGCACCAACACGGGAGCTGTGCTGGAGCAGGGGGTCCTGCAGGACGTGGGCTCCCTGGCTGTGAGCTGTGCTGCTCTGAGCAGTAAAGCATCCCCCATGCCAAGGTCAGGCCGCTGGCTTAAAAAGTAACTAGACTTTTAAGGGCCACTTTCTCTTATTTACTAGCCTTGTGTTTTCAGCCTTCAGATTGCATTCAGCTCACTGCCCAGCCTCTTTAAAACCATAATAATAATACACAGAGAGCTAATTACAGACTGCAGACCTGGATCCTCAGCCCTGCTCCCTGGGGACCTCACTTGATCCACGTCCCCAGCACGGTCGGTCCTGTCCCTCTGACACTGGCCTCAGCCCTGGGGCTTTATTTAAAGGCTCTGGATCAGCGCAGCCGTGAAGGGCTCTGCCAGCGGCTCCCGTTTCATGTGAGCGCTCCCCTCCCGTCCAGCCCAGCGCATGTCAGGAAAGGATCCGTCGTTACCCAGCGCAGTTCGCCACCCCATTGAGTTTTATGGCATTTAACGGTACAACTGGGTCTTTGCCTCGTTCAGTTTTATAAGGGCTTAAAGAAGCGTTAATTTTACTTGGAGCCCGGTAAGCAGGGGGCTCCAGGGAGGCTTGGTTAGGAGATGGCTGAAAATCAGTCCCCCTTGCATCAGAGGTTACAGCAGTGGATGCATTGGCAGGGAATGGGAGCAAGCTGCCCTGCTCCCTTCTCCTCTTAACCCTCCAAATCCCGGGAAGGAAAACCAAAAACTGCATGCCAGCTCTCGGTCAGGCACGGGCTGCACTCAAATTGCTTTAAAAGAGGAGAGACGGCCCTGGGAAAGGTCGATTTCACTGGGGCAGAGGCTCCTTCCACACCCAGGGTCACCCACGCTTATCAAGGGGAGCCACAGCTCAGACACAAAACATCAGCTCCCCACAGCCTGCCCCATCCACGGACTGGGAATGGTCCTGAGGGCTTCCTTGTGCCAATGTCTGCACTCTCCCTCCACCAGACGCCTGCTCACCCCTGCAAGGGCCGGACCCCTCAGCGCTGCAGCTTTTGAAACCCTCCTGAACTTATTTGGGTGGCAGGAGACACCACAGGCTCTGCTCCAGCACGGACACTCACGGTGGCCACGATCCTTTTGACGGCGGCCGCAGAGAGCTCCTCGCCCTTGGGCTGCTCCACCAGCGTCATGCCCAGGTACTTGAGGGTGAAGAGCATCCCCTCCAGCAGTGTCTCACGGGTGTCGGTCCAGTTCTCCGGGAGCTCTAGAGAGACAGCAAAGTGGATCTGGATTCCCAAAATACACAAGGTCAAGCCCTGGGAGAAGGTTTGGGTAGGAGCAGGGTGTTGGTTTGGCTACTGCCTGCACCCCAGTGGGATCCTGAGCATCAAGTGCAAGGGAGGGTCGGTGCTGCTCCAAGCACAGCAATAACCTTACCCTGTTCACCTACGCCCGAGGCTAAGACGGGATTTGCCACAGCTAAGCCCACGCACACCTGTGGGGATCCAGGTGATGTGCTGCCACTTGCTAAATCAGTCACCAACAGCTCCAAAGAGTGAGGAAAAGGTCTCTGAGAGCACCGAGGTCCCTGGTCTCTTCTCTTATCTGCTGGGGGGGTTAAGAAAGGAGGGTCCTAAGTACTGAGATAATTTTGGGATGAAACTGGAAGTCAGGTGGGTATTTCTAAGCCTGAAATTACACCGCAGGAACTAACATCCAGGCACAGAGCTGACAACTCAATCTGCAGCTCTTGTGTTTAAGGATTCTCTTGCTTGGAGCAGGAGGCATCAAACTGCAGCCCTCCCAAGGTGCCCATGGCCCTGGGGAGCGATGAGACTCCCGAGAGGAGACTCCACTTGCCACAGACAAAACACGACCCTGAAGGCTTTGCTGCCATGGATTCAATCCCCTCCAACAGCCTTCGAGCAGTGGGGCCAAACCCTGCAGCTCCTGCAAACCTGCAGGGCCAGGAGGGCAGGGCTGCAGGGGACACACACCCCTGGGGTGACCCCCGGTGACTCAGGCTCCCAGAGACGGGAGATAAGCCATAAAACCCAGCACCACTCCCAGCGCCGGGTGTGGGAGCCGAGTGGGGAACCACCCCTGTGAAGGTCGAAGCGACAGAAACCGAGTATGGGAGCTGGCTGCCACACGCTCCCTGCCTCGCTGGACAGGCAAAGAGTGTGTCCCCCGGTCCCATATCTGAGGATGGGGACCCTCCAAGCACCCCACGCTGCCTGGGACGATGCTGACTGCAGTGAGGCCCTGGGTACCCACAGCTTGTGATGGGCTGGGACAGAAACAGGGGTGGTTGGAAGGCAGCCACCAAAGTGCTTTCAGAAGGGAAGGAGCACCCGAGGCGGCACAGACAGACAGACAGACATGCATCCTGTTCTGCAGTGCTCACCACCCGTCCTCTCGTTAACACAAACGTTGCACCCAGGCCCAGGGCACGTCCGTGCCATGGGGCGAGGGCAATGCCCCCCACCCAGCGAAGGGCACCGGGGTGTTCACAGGGTCACCCCCATATCAAGGGGCCTCTCTGCTGGGCATGTCCCGCTGGGCCATGCTGGGCAGCCCCCACATCTGCCCC